TGAAGTCAATATCAAGTAATTCTTGTTTCCCACTGTCCCATTTTCCAATACACCACATTTCTGCGCTGACAACTGGTACTTGCACAGCAGGATCTGAAACATTTTGGCAATAGATCACAAAAACTCTTCGGGATGTAGGAAGAAACATGGGATTACAAAAGAAATGGGAACACATAAGCCAGTTAACATGATCAAAAAATTAACATTCAAGAAGTCATTTACAGGTTTCAGGGTTAGCGTATTAAGAGGGAAACAATTCAGTTTGGAACTGTTGTTTCATATTGCTGGAAAAATCCACCACGGCACTGCCTTCTCTGGTTCATGTATTTATTTTGCCCATGAGTTAACTCCTGCCTTTAAACTATGGAGCAATTTTCTGCAACACTGTACCAGAAGTAAAACAGGGTCTGGTCTGTAACACGCGCTGGTCTGTCACAAGTGGGGCCCAAAAGCCAAGAGTTTCAGCAGTCCCTTTGGAAGTCTCTCACCTCTTGGTTTTACATAGCACAGGTCAAATCTCATCTGTTCCCTGACCACATATAGCCCCATTTTTAATGTTTACAATTCTGCAAGTGTTCTGCCTGCAGCAGTATCAGAATCGAGACGACAGCAAATAACGGACAGACAACTGTAGAAATAACATTTTTGGTTTAGTGTTCGCAATTTGTTTTACAGCTCATAAGGAAATACTGTTAGAGATATTCTACATTCATACATTTCTAGCAAAATACATTTTTAAAAACATAAGGCACTTAAAGACTTCCTAAAACAAATGCTCATCATAAAAATTCAACAGGAAGGCTGGATAAGAACCCCTTCTACCCTTAACATTCACGTCAGTAGAAGATCAATCCTTTAGTTAGGCAGGCAAATGAAATAATCAATAGAAAGGTTTCCAAGATAGAGTTACCGCTGTATTAGTGTGCATTCTGAAGTAGTCTATTTGAAGTATCTTCAGTTGGGGAGGGAGGGCATGGTGTGAATAAGATGCATTAAAATAGTTCTTTGAACTGGGTAACAAAAGACACATCGCAGGGATTAAGTTTCATTACTTTCATTGGATTAAATTCCTTCCATTCATTATTGCCAACAAGAGTAAGGAACAAAAAGGAGCTGGTTCTCTCTTCCCTCCCCCCTACTCCCATTATAATTCAACACAAGATTTCAAAGACTTAAAATGACCAGGACAGAAGCCCATGAAAAACTGCATCTGGCCACTTCAGAGTATGTTTAAATATTCATTACTGACTTCCTTAAGTCTCACCTCTTATTAAAGAAAGAGAAACATAAAAGAATTGGCAACTGTGTAAGTTGCTTCCAGTCAAATTGATATTTTGCTTCTTTTTAACACGACCCCACTGTTCACATGAAGTACCTGCATTCAGAAACGCACCAGCAGCTCCCCTTGGCAGAGAGATGGTGGGGCAGAGGATGAATACAGGCAGGGCCCCGCGGGGAAGAGCGAATGAGCAACTCTGCTTCCTACACTTGCATCTCAGCTTAAGAACAGTTTCAAAAGCCAGACGTGCTGGGCTGCTGTAGCAACAAGGGGACTGATACCAAAACACTGACTGAAGACTTCACTCGGGGACACATCCGTAGGAACTGAAATGCACTATTTAAAACTAACAAAAAGAGCTGCAATGCTGGCAAAACCACTGTCTACTACTCAGGAACCCCTGAGAAGGGGACAGTAGGAACTAGTCCCTACCACCCATCAGTGTATTTTCAAGTTGTGTCTTACCCCTTTTATTGCCCTGTACATTTTCCGGTGTTTGAGGGCTAGAGATTGCTGAAAAACTTGACTCCCGTGGGCTCAGTGTGCCAGGCACTACAGTACAAACCTGCCTCCCTAGTCCTCTCAAACCCACCTCACAGGGGAAAAAAAATCCAACCAACCAATCAACCAACATTTGCTTTTCTTAAACGCCCTTGATTGTTTTAAATTCTGACTTACTTGAATTGCACTTTAAAGCCCAGCAGCAAAAAGAAAAGTTGGTAACTATATTTGGAAATATATATAAATTTTTAAGAGACAAGACATTTTTGTCAAGTCGAAAAATGCATAGAGATATCAACTGCATAAGCCGTCAAGTTTTGACCTGGCTACAGTGAGGAAGCTGTGAGAAAAAGATTAGCCTATTAGCCCTATTAGAATTGGGGCAGAAACGGGATGCCTGTTCAGTTAGGAAAGCAAATGCAGTCAAGGATCGAGCTAAATTAGAACCAGCCACCACTGGTCTTAACCCATCACACACAGAGGTGCTACTGTGCAAACAGGAACTGTGGTGAAATCTAACTTTGTGAAGTGAAAAAAAGCACGACTTAAAGACAGCTGCTGCTAAAAAGAAGAAAGGAAGGTGGTACCTCATGGCCCTGAGCTCAAAAGATCTTAAGATCTCAACCTGTGTGGCTCACTTTCACTGGCAGAAGAGCCAAGCCCTAGATCACTCAGTTGGTCACTAGTGTTATGTTAGCAGCCAATACAAAGTTGTGGCTCTGCAATCAGTTTACTGTCCTTCAGCACTGGTGTGACGATTTTCACTTGGGACAGGAAGATGCATCTGAAAGAGGAGATGAAGAACGAAACAGAGGCTGCTCACCGATCCCAACTGAACTAAGAGCATGCAGATGGTTTCTCTCAAAAATCTGTAGGTTCTTCTTCCCAACAAAACCTCACAGAATTTGCTAAAGTGACACCCAGTTGCTCTGCACATATACCTTATTGTGACTTGAAAGTATACTTTAACAGAAGTATTTGGAAAGGCACAGAGCACGTGCAATTTTGCTCCTTGTGGATCTGTGCGTGTGGGTAGTCTTCAGACTAAGTTGCAATGATTAATAACGGATTGGGTGCTATTTTACAACCAGATCATTTCTTTCAGATTCCAGTTCGTTCCAAAGGCAACTGGGGAAATGAGCCGTGCTGTCAAGGAAATGCAAGGCAAGAAGTTCAACCTGCACACCAAGACAGACTGGAATGGACAAAGTTTCACAACCTTGCTCTTCAGGTCACATTAAAGGAAAAATTGTAGTCTAATTAAAAAAAAAAAAAAAAAAAAAAAAAAATCACTAAAGCTAGTTACAAAGAGTAGAATTATCAAAGTGCTTTAATATATAAAGTGTCAAATGTAATTAAACAGGACCATTAACACAGAGCTGCTGTAAGATATTCAAATAGGTACATGTATTTTCTTAATGCAGGAGAGAAGCACAGGTTTTTAGCTTCCCCCTTAGGACCGAAGTGGGTTAAGAAAGGTTTTTCTTGTTCATTTAGCTTCTTAACACAATGTATTTGCTCTGCTCATGCATTTGAAGGCACAGTTGGATTTGCTCTATCTGAAACTGCATCAAAAGGACTGTGTGCCATGAAATATTAATAAAGGTGCAGCTCTCACTGAGCAAAACACACAACAGCCCCATAAAGTAGATTTACAGATACCTGTGAATTCATAATATTAATTTTTATAAGCTATTTCTTGATACTTAAAAATTCTGAGCTATTTTCTGCAGCTTTCCTTTAAATATCGTTTAAGATAACCAAATGCATCATTTGAACAATCCAACGGACTGCCAAAGCTATTATAACAGGAGCAAATGCAAACAAATAATAAGGAAGAGGTTTCAAAATGACCTCATGCAAGATGATCAGACAACGTGCCTTAGCCTCTCTGCCAGCTTTTCCCCTCATGTTATGAGTAAGAAAAAAACCCCATTCTCCACAGCACTGCTCTCAGTACTTCCAATTCATTAAGCTGCTGCCTACTTTAAGCAGATGACATTAAAGATGGAAAGTTACTCTGTACCAAGCATAGCAGAGCTAGCTGCAACAGGGGGACGTCGTTGTTCAGAAAAAAAGAAATGTCAATCAAGACCTCCCCTGCAATTCACAGATACAAAAGCAGATTTGCTCCAGTAAGCTGAGACTCAAAAACATGATACAGAGCATTGCATCTGGTCCCTTGCACAGACATGTATGGCCACAAGACTGAAGCAATACCAAGTCTCAATAGAACAACTTGTCCGTTTTCTGAAGGCACCATAAAGGCAGCAACATTCCAGGTGTAATGGGAAGAGGCAGAGGAGGGAAAAATAACAACGACAGTTAGGAGGAAACACTAAGAGCAGCTTGGTATAACAAGGGAGAAAAAAAAAGGTGGCTCAGTTCTATGATGGCTGTAACATCTGTAACAGCACAGAGACCCTACACCTCCAGGCAAAGGAAGAGCAACCAGAGTTTGGAAAAAAATCTACTCCTGAACTAAAAAAAAGCCCAACAACTCCCATTTTTAGTGGATGGGTGTAAAATCTGTAACTGAAATCAAAGGAGACAGCAAAGAATCAAAACGCTATATAGAACATTGGGGTCCATACATACTCACATGGCATCATTAGCCTGTTTCTGATTTACCACAGTGTCAAAAGATCTGGACAGTTTCCTTTGCTCTGCAGGATGACTACAGTCCAGTGAAGCGTCATATATTAAAACCCTTCTCAATCTGCCAGTGAGAGCAAATCCCCCTCCCCAGACTGCACGAGGGAGGGGGGTTGTGTCTCCCAGACAGGAGATGTTTTTAACAACCCCAGGCACCATGCCACTGAGTTAGTTCTCCTAAGTAGCACTGCACCAAGCAAGTCTAGGCTTGCTAATATGTTCTGCCCCTTACATGGACTTGAAGACAGTTTCTCGTGAGCCCCGAGGCCATAGGCTCATGCTTCACTGTTCCATTATTGCTCTTCACATTTTCCTTCCCATCTTCCCCTCTTGCTCCCTATTATCCCAGAAGGACTTTCTGCATCCTGCGCGCAGCAACGCTGGCTTCGTCCTCAGAGTCAGACTCACTCTGGGAAGTAGAGCTCTGGGAGGCAGAGCTGCAGGGAGAGGAGCACTCTGGGGAGCACAGGTAGTGCATCAGCGGGAGGCGATACTTCCCACAGAAATCAACAAACTTGATTTGTCTGACGCAGCTGTCAAAGTAGACACCTGTAAGGGCGGAGGGAACAGTAACAACGTTATGAGCACAGAGAAATCCATAAGCTTGGCAAGGTTGTTGCAGCTCATGCAAACGCTTCAAGTTAGGCTTTAACAGACAGAGCACTGGACACAGAAAGACAAAGGATACTGTAGGAAGAGAAGGGACCCGGATGCCTATGCAAATGTGAAATTTCTTTTCTTACTAAAAAAAAATAACCCTGTAAAACTGTATTTGGTAGGTGATTCAGAATGGCAGACTCTGCACGAAGACACAGGGCAGCTACTTCCAAAGAATTTGGGAATTTCTTCTAACTATTAGGGAGAAATCTCAGGCTGGGAATTTGCAAACTTCTTAAATGTCAAATTAATTCATTCACTCTGTTTTCAAACTTGTAAAACTTCTTCTACCAGCTAGCAAAAATGCACTCACAAATGGACCTTCAGAGCTCTGCTTTTCTTCTGCTTGAGTGAAGTCACCATGCTGAGTTTGGATGCTACTTTCCATGGCAACAGCGTTGCTGTAACACACAATTACTTTCCCTTCCTGTCACAGCAAGTGATTTTAGACACTGACATTTTCAGAAGTTTCCAGCGGTGTTTTAAGTCCTAGCTGGTCTGGAGTAAGCTTTTCTCCTGCAGTGCTACCACAACGCTGCAGTACTGTGCTAGTTCATAAGGAAAAGTGACAAAGAGCAAAACCAATCCCCTGTTAGCCAAGC